TCCCCTCACGCATAGCTTGCCTTGTTAGCAATACACACCACCAGAGTGGGATATTTGGTACAACTGATGAACCTAGATTGATGCATCTTTATCACTCAAAGACTGCAGTTTAGGGGCTGGAACGATAGCACAGCGGGTAGGGCATTTGCCTTGCGCATGGCCAACCTGGGTTCGATTCCCAGCATCCCATGTGGTCCCCTGAGCACTGCCAGGGTTAATTCCTGAGTGCAGATTGAGGAATAACCCCTGAGCATCACCGGGTATGACCCTCCCCCCGCAAAAAAAGACTGCAGTTTACCATAGGGTTGCATTGTACATTCTATGATCTTGAATACATGGGTAATGACAGGTATTCATCACTGTGGTATCACAGAGTACTTTTACTTTCCTAAAGTACTCTGTGCTTGACTCTCCATCCTTTTTTCCCTAATACCTGGCAGTTATTGTTTTGTTTTGGGGCCACACCTGGCGGTGCTCTGGGGTTAGTTACTCCTGGCTCTGCACTTAGGATTCACTCCTGGCGGTGCTCAGGGGACCATATAGGATGGCAGGGATCCAACCCGGGTTGGCTGCATACAAGGCTAATGCCCTATCCACTGTACTATCTCTCTGACCCTTAATACTTGGCCACAGTTAATCTTTTTACTGTCTTCCTAGCTTTGCCTTTTCCAGATTGTCACATAACTAGGCTTTTTTTTTTCTTGTTTCTGGGAATGTGAGTCTCAATCAAGAATTATGGTAGTCTTTTCAGATTAGTTTCTTTCCGCTTAGTAATATGCACATAAATTTCTTCCATGTCTTCTCATGATTTGACAGCTTATTTCTTTTATTGCTTTTGGGTAGAATCTGGTGGCATTCAGGGCTAACTCTCACTGATTCTGCTCAGGGATGACTTCTGGCAGTGCTTGGGGCAATGCTATATGGTGCTGGGAATTGAACCTGGGTTGGCAGCAGGCAAGGCAAGAGTCCCACCTGCTGTACTATCTCCCTACCCACCTTGATGCTCTTTGAAAGCATGATCTCCAATGAAAACATAATATTCTCTCTTACGGACATACCTCAGTATACCTAGCTATTGCTTTAATATGAAATATATTTTTTCAAGGCAGTAAGTATTGTCATAAGACTGGGGTGAATGTGCTGCATCTAGATCTTTAGATCACCTCTCATTACTTTTCTCAGAACTGATTCCTAGAAGCAAATTGGACTGACTCAAATAATTCTTAGTCATCATGTTAATTTTTCTTACAATTTGTGCCAAGTTCATTCCATCAGCAGCAGGATGAAGTGCTCCTCTCTCATCCTTGCCAACTGTCAGTCTTATGTTTTCAAAAATCTGCTCATTTGAAAAGTGATGAGATCATAGGGGTCTTCAAATACCTTCCCTTATGGTGCTGTGGGCTGGAGCGATAGCACAGTGGGTAGGGTGTTTGCCTTGCATGCGGCCGACCCAGGTTTGATTCCTCCGCCCCTCTCGTAGAGACCGGCAAGCTACCGAGAGTATCCCGCCCGCACAGCAAAGCCTGGCAAGCTACCCGTTATGTATTCAATATGCTAAAAACAGTAACAACAAGTCTCACAATGGAGATGTTACTGGTGTCCACTCGAACAAATCCATGAACAATGGGAGGACAGTGCTACAGTGCTACGGTGCTGTGTGACAGCCACTGTACCAGGCACAGAGGATCCCAGTAAGAAAGAGACTGAGATTCTGGCCTGATTCTATCACCAGGCTTCTATGACCTCCTGGTGTTCTTTAACTACTATTAGTATTTTCAGGGTTTCTAACTGTGAATGGGGCCTGACCACTGGGGAAACACCCATTTTCTGGGTAAATTCTCAAAGCAATCTTGCAGGGGTGGAGGCAAGAAGGAAATGAGGAGCAGAGAGGTGAACCACTTGCCCAAGGTCATGTACCAGTTAAGTGCCTGAGGAGGAAGCAATCAGCCGCCAACTTCTAGCTGGCGTTCTTCAGAAAACCTTCAGGATGTGAGTTTAGAAAGCATTAGCTAGCTTCCCATCCCTGAGAGCCTCCTTTAGTTGCCAGAGCCTCATCTGCACCAAACCTGGGCCTTCTGCCAAGTGAGAACCATGAAGTAGATCTTGGGGGCCCTGGCATTGGTCCAAACACAGCATCTTGTTCCTTCACAAAAGGGGCTCTCTGAAATGAGACTCTTTGCTTCCTAGTCATTCGCTCCATTTTTAACATTTTTACATGACCTCTTTTCTGCCATCTCCCCCAAACGGTATGACATTTCAAAGAAAACCAAGCTCTCTTTTTCAACAGAAATTCTTGCATTTTCAGTGCTTGTTCCCCCAAGAGAACACCACAGCCCTCACCCCAATCATGGAACCATCCCCCACTTGGAGGGCTTCTAGCAAATGCCCAGCACTATCCCACGCCTTCCCTGCTAATTCCAACCGAAGGCAGACCTGAGCAGCAGCACGGAGAGCCCGATTTTGCTGACAGAGAGGAAGCTGAGTGCTCAGCTCTCTGGTGAGGCGTGCCCAGGGAGTCAACTATGGGACTGCTTGGACCTCACAGTCCAGCCTTGTCGGTTTTCATCAGCCAGAACTGTGCTATCTCATACTGGGGCTCTCTGCCCGTTTGGCCCTTTAGACAGACATTCATGCACTCCTTCTTGTAGCACTAGCCACATTCTCAGGGTATCTGCGCTGACCCACAGTCATTTCACTGTGCAAAGATCTGCAGGACAGCATAGCCTAGAACTCCTGAGAAAAAGATTTGGTGACTTCACCCCTCGGGGAGAGCCAGGATGTCTGCCATGTGTCAGCGCCCTGTGGAGTAGTTGGTCAGAAGTGAGTTTCCCTTGGTGAGGTCATGCTGGAACCTTCCTTGGTTCTTCTTCCCTTTCTCTGGTTGGGGAGAGCTGCAGGCTGGGTACCCTCAGATCCCATTTATCACCCCCCTGCCCCAATTCCTAGGTGTCCAGTACTCTCCCCTGTCCCAGGGGACTTAGGATCCCATCCTCTCTCCTGTCCCTATCCCTGACCATTACAATAGGATGGTCTCAGTGAAAAAAATCTGATGGGCACCGAGCAAGATGCCATGACAGGTGAGTGACTGTGTGGTCTGTGGGTGACCCCTGAGAACAGAGCCAGGAGTAAGCCCTGAGAACCACTATGTCTTCTCCCCACAACTCCAAAAAGGTTGTTAAACTAGGGAGGTGATTGATTGATATGAGGATTTTTGTTTGTTTTGTTTTGTCTTCTTTCGCTACACTCAACAATGCTCAGGGGCTACTCCTGGCTCTGCACTCAAGAATTACTCCTGGCAGTGCTCAGAGGGCCAATATGGGATGCCTGGAAATCTAACCAGGATTGGCAGTGTACAAAGCAAATGCCCTACCTGTTATACTACCACTCTGCCCCCATGTGACTTGTTTTATGTTTGAAAATGATCACTCTTGTCACCTTAAGAAAATGCATTGGCACTTTTCTGGACAAACAGGTAGCAGAGACCAGATGTTGCAGGCTGGGCAGAGACGAGGGCCATGAGGCCTGGTCTGATCTGGGAACTCAGGAGGAGAAAGGTGGCTGGGCAGGAGAAATACGTGAGAGACAGACTCAAGGATATGGTGATTGCCGCATGTGTGCAGAGGGAGGTGCGGTGGGCATGGGGGGTGGGGGAGATGAGAGACAAGAGCAATTACCCAGTTGCTGGACAGAGTGGATCAGGTGAATCCTAGGCAAAGCTATCTCAGTAACAGTCTGAAAGGCAAGTCAGAAAAATGGACTTTCAGACACCTTTAAGGGAAGTCAAACAGCAGCTGAAACCACAAGGTTTCACCTAGCAGTACATTCCTTTTTACAGAGGGGGAAACTGAGGCATGAGATACAAGTGTTGGCGTTGGGTCTTCATCCTTGCAGCCTGACACCTTTAAGATTGGCTGAAAGAACGGAGGCGAAGAACTTGGGCACTTTGCAAGTTCCATCTGGCCGGCCCGGTTGTGTTGGGCACTTAGCAAGTTCCAGCATCTGGCCAGCCAGGGTGTGTGTGTGTGTGTGTGTGTGTGTGTGTGTGTGTGTGTGTGTGTGTGTTGGGCACTTAGGAAGTTCCAGCATCTGGCCAGCCAGGGTGTGTGTGTGTGTGTGTGTATTGGGCACTTAGCAAGTTCCAGCATCTGGCCAGCCCGTGTGTGTGTGTGTGTGTGTGTGTTGGGCACTTAGCAAGTTCCAGCATCTGGCCAGCCAGGGTGTGTGTGTGTGTGTGTGTGTGTGTGTGTGTGTGTGTGTTGGGCACTTAGGAAGTTCCAGCATCTGGCCAGCCAGGGTGTGTGTGTGTGTGTGTGTGTGTGTGTGTGTGTGTGTGTTGGGCACTTAGCAAGCTCCAGCATCTGGCCAGCCCGTGTGTGTGTGTGTGTGTGTGTGTTGGGCACTTAGCAAGTTCCAGCATCTGGCCAGCCAGGGTGTATGTGTGTGTGTGTGTGTGTGTGTGTGTGTGTGTGTTGGGCACTTAGCAAGTTCCAGCATCTGGCCAGCCAGGGTGTGTGTGTGTGTGTGTGTGTGTGTGTGTTGGGCACTTAGCAAGTTCCAGCATCTGGCCAGCCCGTGTGTGTGTGTGTGTGTTGGGCACTTAGCAAGTTCCAGCATCTGGCCAGCCAGGGTGTATGTGTGTGTGTGTGTGTGTGTGTGTGTGTGTTGGGCACTTAGCAAGTTCCAGCATCTGGCCAGCCCGGGTGTATGTGTGTGTGTGGGGAGGGGCGGGGGGGAGGAGCCCTCCGTTCGGCGCCCAACAGGCTTGGATTTGTGTGTGTGTGTGTGTGTGTGTGCGCGCGCGCGCGCGGGCAGGGGGCGGGGGGAGCCCTCCGTTCGGCGCCCAACAGGCTTGGATTTGTGTGTGTGTGTGTGTGTGTGTGCGCGGGCAGGGGGCGGGGGGAGCCCTCCGTTCGGCGCCCAACAGGCTTGCTCTGTTCACCTCCCGCGTCTCAATAAAGTTGTTGAAATTGACGTTGGTTGCTAAGGAAGTGGGTCGGCGAGCCGGGTTGCTAAGGAAGTGAGCGGCCGCAGTCTCTCCCCATCCGGGGCAGCGGGGAATGGCTGAGCCCGGGACTCGCCGCCGCCCCCGCCGCCGCCGCCGCCGCCCGCCGCCGGGTCCGGCCGCAGGTGAGTCGGGGAGGGGCCGAGCATCCTCCGCGCCGCCTCCCGGGCATCCTCGGGCGGCGCGTCCGAGCGGCCGCGCCCTGCGCTCCCGGCGGGAGGCGCGGCCCGACCCCCAGGCGCGACCGCGAGCCGCGGGGGTCCAGGTGGGCGCGCCGGGCCATTGTCCGGGCCCCGGCTCGGGAGCGGGGCGGGGGAAGCCCGCGTGTCCGCACCTCGCCGCTGCCCCGGGCCCCCCGTGTGTGACCTTGGGCCAGTCCCTGCCGCTGTCCGCCTCCAGTTGACTCGCTCTCGGCCAGCGAGCCCCGACCGACCGTTGCGGCGCTGAGTGCTGGAGATGAGGCGTGTCCCTCTGGTCTACGCTGCCCAGAAGCGGGCGAGGGGCATTCTTAGGACAGCCCCGCCCGGGGAGGGCCAAGAGAGCACTTGAAGTCTGAGCGGCTGAGTTGGAGCCTGCAGGTCCTCTTAGCAACCGTGGCCAGGGATGAGCCGCGGGCTCTCAGCCCTCTTATCGGTAAAATGGTTAACGAACCACGGCAGGGCTCCAAGGATTCCAGGGCTCGCCAGCTGGCTTGGCACCTAGTCTCAGCAAGCTCCTGGCGGGCCTGTGGGTGCTTAGGGCAGGCTTCCTTCCAAGGATGTGCTGACCTTGAGACCGGTCCGGTGGAGATACCTACAGCCCCACTCAGAGGGTGTAGGTCCTGCAGTTGACAGCCCGCCTGTGCTCCGTGCCTCTGGCTCCATTCTGCAGGGCGAGGTGTGGCCCTCTGAAAGGAGCCGGGTGGGGGGACCGCTAAGCCTCAGCCCTCAGAGGTAGCTGAGGTTATGAGGTTAATTCTCATGTGGGCCTTGCTGGCTGTTCTGTTGGAATAAGGTATCTTTATGTCTCCGGGGAAGTGCTTACATGGTAATAGCTACTTACAGGTATCTGATTAAGAAGCACTTTTCCGGGGGGAGAGAGAAGAGAGAGAGAGAGAGAGAGAGAGAGAGAGAGAGAGAGAGAGAGAGAGAGAGAGAGAGAGAGAGAGGAGAGAGAGAGAGAGAGAGGAGAGAGAGAGATATGAAGGAGATGTCACCATAGGAGGTGAGGCCACTTGCCTTACATGCAGCTGTGGTGGCCACTAGGCTGGTTCAGTCCCTGACCGCCAGGAACTTGCTGAGACTGAGCCGGGAAGAGCCCCCTGAGCACCACTGGGTGTGGCTCGAACACCACTATAGCACTGTCCTCCCGTTTTTTCATCGATTTGCTTGAGTGGGCACCAGTAACATCTCCATTGTGAGAATTGTTACTGTTCTTCGCCCGCATGGCAGAGCCTGGCAAGCTACCCGTGGTGTATTCGTTATGCCAAACACAGTAACAACAAAATCTCCAATGGAGACATTACTGGGCCCGCTCGAGCAAATCGATGAACAACGGGAGGACAGTGACAGTGACAGTGACAGTTACTGTTTTTGGCATATTGAATACGTCACGGGTAGCTTGTCAGGCTTTGCCGTACGGGCGCTGTACTCTTGCTATACTCTCTGAGAGGGGCGGAGGAATTGAACTGGGGTCAGCCCGGGTCAGCTGCATGCAAAGCAAGCACCCTACCCACTGTGCTATCAGGGGGAAGTCGTTTTCAAGTGCATTATCCTGGGTATTGGGAAGATGTCTCAAAGGGCTGGTGTGTCAGCTCAGAGGAGCCCCAGGTGTGATCCCTGGCACTGGATGGTCCCCTGAGCACCCCCAGAAGTGGACTCCCTTTAAAAAAAACAAGGACATTGTCTCATTTAATCCCAGCACTGCAGGACCTGAGAAGTACCTGAGGATGTGATACTTCTTGGACATTGAAGTGTAGCCTAGTTAGCTCAGAATTCCCTGGGAACCCCCACGGCTCAAAAAAAAAATAGGATTTCAGGTGTGGGAGCACCACCACCAAATGTATGTTCCACAACTACCAAGGGAAAGGTAATAGTATTTTAAATTTAAAATGAGAGGAATGGACTGTTTTCAGAAGGTCCTTTTAGTGCCAGTGCATGGAGTCTGGCTCCCAGGGTTCAAATCCAGGTCCTGCCTCCAGGCTGTGTGCCATAGAGCGGTCGACTTCACCACTTTGTGCTTTGGTATTGTCAGCTCTAAAATGGGGATGATAATAGTATCTACCCTGTGAGAGCATTTGAACCTAGAATGTGTAAGATGCCCAGCATGTTTGGTGAAGGTATTTATTTGCATTCAATGGAGCATCATAATGTCTTGTTCTCTTTTTTTGGCTTTATTTTTTTGGTTTCTTTCTTTTTTTTTTTTTTTTTTTTGGTTTTTGGGTCACACCCAGCAATGCTCAGGGGTTACTCCTGGCTCTACACTCAGGAATTACTCCTGGCGGTACTTGGGGGACCATATGGGATGCCAGGGATTAAACCCAGGTCGGCCGCATGCAAGACAAACATCCTACCCGCTGTGCCATCGCTCCAGCCCCATCATATTATCTTATGGCTAGTGAATAAAGTATATGCTGATGACACCAGGTCTGCCAACCTCAAAGAGTCCTGAATGACTGAAACAGGAGCTGTCAAAGTAGCATATAAATGTCAGCCTACTAACAGGATTGCCCTGGGAATCTAGAATTTCAGGCCACAGTGAAAGTTGCACTCAGGGAAGTGACACATGAGTTAGGTATGTGAGACCTTGATTCACTCCCCAGCGCCCACATGGCCCCCACAGCACCACTGGGTTAGCCCTGGGGGCCTCTGAGGACTTCTGGGGTAGCCATGGAGGCTTCCAAGCACCACTGGGTGTGCTCAGATCACCCTAGTGGTCCCCAACACCATTGTATCCTTGGGTCCTCTTAACCATCTGCCCCAGTTGGCCCGGCATCCAGTTCCAGGAATAGCTCTCTCTGGCTCCATGAACATTGCTGGGGAAACCCATTCATTTTTTATTTTATTTTTTGCCTCTTGGGTCACACCCGGCGATGCACAGGGGTTGCTCCTGGTTCTGCACTCAGGAATTACTCCTGGCGGTGCTCAGGGGACCATATAGTATGCTGGGAATTGATTAGGTCAGCCACATGCAGGGCAAATGCCCTATCTGCTGTGCTTTCACTCCAGGCCCCCCACCCCCGTCATTATTTTAAAATTTAGAAAGACTGATAGTAGGATGCCAGTTCAGTCACCTTTGATTAAATCACCTGGTAATGAGCATTGGGAAAGTACAGAGATCAGTCCTATCTCCCCTATATTTCAAGAACTTAAGAGCTTTTGGAGGTGGAAGTGATAGTATAGTGAATAAGGTGCTGGCTTTGCACACAGTTGGCCCTGGTTCAATCCTCAGCATTCCATATGGCCCCCTGAGCACCACCAGGACTAATTCCTGAGTGCAGAGCCAGGAGTAACCGTGAGCGTCTCTGGGTGGAGCCCAAAAAATAAAAAATAAAAACGAGAATTTATGTATTACTGGCTGTTGAAATCTTTAAATAAATACCTGGTGTTGGCTTCATTATAGAGTCCGCTACTGACCCAGATCTCTTCCAGATCCCACACCCAGCAGTGTTCAGGGCTTACTCCTCGCTCTGTACTCCTGGCAGACTTTGGGTCCATTTGGAGTGCTGGGGATTGAAGCTGGGTCGTGTGCGAGGCAAGTGTCCTATCCTACCCACTTCAGGTGTATTGCTCCAGCCCCAGTATCCCCACACTTCTGCTGGTTGCGTAGCTTCTAGGGCCCTTTCATCCCTCATGTATGCATTTGTGAGGAAGAGCCTGCACAGCACTGGTCACTGTCCTAGTGTTCTACAGATGTTGTCTAGGGGTTTACAAACATGTTGAAAGGTGCCTTCAGCCATTTGATATTGTCAAGACCTCTGCAAGGGAGGGAAGTCCAGGCTCCAACCCCCATTTTTACAGTCAAGGGAGCAGAGGGAAGGAAGCTGCGTGGTTCTGAGTGGCCTGTTTCACATGCGTCTCTTCAGCCATCACGTTCAGCACAGGAGCCTCACAGCTGCCTGAGTCTCATTCACCCAACATTTGCCACGTGCCCGGGGTCCACCAGGTCATTCTGGCCTGGAGATATGATGGTGAGGAGGTAACTGAAGTCCTTGCCTCAGTCACCTCAGATCCTAGTGCAGAGACTTTCACCCTTATGTGGCCTACTGCCCCCTTTCCAGAAAAAATATCACTGGTGTTTCTGGAGATCTCCCTCTTTTTTTTTGAGTAAATGGAAAGTAACCCCCTACCAATTGCATTTGAGGCTAATTCCTGCCCCCTGAATCATGCTTGTGCTCCCCAGGGGGCAGTATATCGCCCATTTTGGGAAACCGTGTTCTAGTGACAGCAACAGAAAAAAGTAAACTGGAGAGAGAAATAAATACTGTGAAAGGTAACATCATGGAGAGTAACTGCCCAAAGGATTGGGGACTCCTACTGTATGGGTGTTTAGAGAAGGCCACTGTAAGGTGGCGGCATTTTCTCTGAGATTTGCTGCCAGGATCTCTGAAAAGGTATAAACCATTGGAAAAGGTGGTGTGGGGGCTGGGGAGGTAATATAGCACTTAAGGCACTTGCCTTGCATCGAAGCTGATCCTGGTTCAATCCCCAGCACCACATGCGGCCCCCTGAGCACAGCCAAGAATAGCTCGTGAGCACTGCTAGGTGTGGCCTAAACCACACCTACCCCTATGCCCCACCCCCAAAATGTGGAAAACAGAAGGAACAGCCAGGATAAAGGTTCTGAGATGGGAATAACTCAGAGTAATTGGTGCAGGGGTCAGTGAGAATGGAGAGGTGGGCTGAGGGGCCGGAATGAGGCATAGATCTGATAGGGCTTGTGGGCCAGAGTAAGGAGTTGAGACTTGATTCTGAGTGCATTGTAGAATTGTTAAAGACTTGAAGAAGGGACGTGATAACTAGTTTTCATTTGTTAAAAAGTAGGGCTGGTTTGTGGTGGGAAATGTACACTGGCGAAGGGAAGCATGGAGGAACTTTGTATGACTGAAACCTGATGATGAACAACTTTGTAACTGTGTATCTGACCT